AGTAAATCACCCCCTTTGAGTTCTGATTCATTAGGCAAGAAATTGAGCACAAGTCACATGACACACAAGTACCCAGGAAGCCAGGTCTCGCTTCCTGGTAGTGCATGCAATAGGGCAAGTCGCTTTTCTGATAAGTTGGTCACAGTGACATAGAGACCAGAAAGAGTTCACTTCTCTGTTAGTTTTCTGAAGCTGAAAATTATGCTTCAAGCTAGATGATTATACCAATGTAACATCATAGCTTATCATCATGATACTAATTTCCTTCCAACAATGTGCTTCTCACATTTATAATAAGGCAGCTATACATGATGGTCTTTTTTGTTTGTTTATGGCAAGTGGAAAAGGGTCATTGTTGCCTTTGTGGCAGCAGAGGTTGTTTGTTTTTTTTGTTTTTTTATGGTATTGACCCTCAAAGCATCTTTTGGCATACTTTATCCTTTACAATTACTTGTTTTTAAGGCTTTTCCTTCCTCTAGTTTTGACATAAGTATAGAGAGCTAAGGTTGCGCCTTCAAAGTGCAGGAAAAGTGAATACTGTGTTATCCTGTTGAGGCAGTGGAAATCCAGCTGTCTGTGTTTAAATAACCTTGCTTTAAAGCTTCATATCCATCTGTGATGTGCAGAGCTCATTGCTGGGTACCTTCCCTTGTAATCTTGCTCATCACTTGGCTTTGTGTTTGTGTTAAACATGGCTCAGAGTTCTGCTGACCTGAAAATTCTCAATCCAATTTTGTATTTGAGCTAGTAAGATTGATGTTCACATATTGCTGTGTGGATAGCACTACACCTACTGAGCATAGATAACCTGCATGTCTGTGCTTCCCATGTGTTTTTTGTTTTTTTTTGGGGGGGGGAGTAAATAAAGATGCTTTGGGGAATTGTTATGTGGATCACTGAATCCCAAAACCCAACTATGCTTAGTTAGTACTACATTCAGACAATATTGTCTTTTTCCATTTAACAATTCTAAACTTTATTTTGTGTCAGAGGCCTGTCTGCAAGGGCTCTTGGATATAGAGGAATGTCATGTTTTCTAAGTAGATGTATTTCAGTATTGCTGGATTAGTTATAAAACAGACATAGCACATAGTAATCAAATGATAACTGCACACTGTTCAGTTTTGGAATAATGCTATATGCAGGCTGATTATGATTAAACTAATAAACGGTAATAAAAATGGTGGACCAAATAAATTTGCAGCTTGTTGAATGATTTTCTGCATGATCATTTGTAATAATTCTAAATCTAAGCAATAGTTCACCATTTGTGGCAAGCAGGATTTGTTTTTGTTGTTTGCTTCTGATGGGACATTTTGAATGATTGTTACCTGCAATTAAGTTGCACAAAACAACAAAAACATTAATAGCGTTTGTGATTGATCACAATCATTTAATTGAATCGTTCATTTATCCCCAAATTGGGGAACTCTTAACACTTCCAAGGCACTGGGACCCAAAGGGTTCTGCACAGGGTTGTGTTTGACAGGCTTTGATGCTGCCCACTCTTCCCAGCTACTCCCTTGAGTGGCATCTGGCCCAACTATGAGAGTGCTTACACCTCAGCGGCTGCAGGAGATTTAAAGCGCAACTAATCCTGCCAATAAACAGTCTAAGAGAACAGTTCATTTTAAGGCATGCCAACTATCAAGGTTGTCAGTGCGTTTATTTCAACTCTCAACCAAACTTTCAAGCTCTCAAATAACTGGAGTCAAAGTTGATCACATGTTCAGCACCATGACAACTGCAGTCCAAATAGAGGCTAAGATGGCACCTTGCTTGGCTGTAAAGCTTTAGGGTTTGTAAAACGCCCTTTACACCTGATGCTTATGTGTTTCAATTCTGAAGACAGGACATGGGAAGAAATAAACAATGGAGTATATACTACCATATTTCACTGGCACCTCCAGTTGTTTAGGCACTGAATAAATATTGTAAACATTGTCATGGCAAGTGATCTTTTTATAGAAATTGTATACTATACATTTCTAGGAAGATGTTCAATTAGTAAAGTATACTTTTCTTATAGAAATACAGATCATGTTATATTTTAGCTAAAGTCTTATTACTGTACAATAATAACTGGGTGATAACGAAGTACTTTACAGGACTGCCAAGGTTAATGTGTTGGATTGCTATGTTGTAACGGTTCCAGTGTACACAAGTAAATCCCATAACTGTGGATTCCATAGAGGAAACAATGGTGTATCTCCTCCTCATTACTTCCAGAGATTTCGGGTTTGTATCTTATCTGTGCAGAAGTCTTTCAGCTGCAGGAAGTCATTGGCTGAACTTCCTGTGGATAACAATTATCAAATCACACAGATGTCATTCCATGTAGTGTAGTCTTATATTCAGGGACCGTGATAACATTGTGTAAAAACTTTACTGCAAAGGAAATTAGTTGAAAGGTTGTTAACTTTGAAGAAAAAAGTAAACCGACTAGAAGCATCATTGTTACACTGCTCTGTAGTCTGGGCATCTATATTGTTAGTTCATTACTTTTCGTTGAAGGACTATTTAAAGGACAACAAAAACTGCAGTTTGAGTTGTGTTTATGTTTTTATTTTATTTTTTCCATGTATAAAAAGCAGATGACTGTTCTTCCCAATCAGTACAGTTAACAAATGGGATGCAAAGTACAGGTTCATCTGGGCTAATGCTGGCTGTCAGACTTGGGCTGTCCTGATCCATTTCTTCTCCTAGGAACTGAATACATTGATCATGGTTTATATAAACACCTTGTTGTTCAATATACTGTGACCGCAATGCTTTTATATTGTTGTACTTAGGGAAATTCCAGTGACCTCTGTCTGATATCAAGCTTGGCTTTTAAAGCTCTGCTTGCCTTCATCTGCTCTAATGGAGTAGTGCATTGAGCAAACTGTTGGTTGCCAGTAATGGTGATCAGCAAATCACTGAAGCTCTGGTGGCTATCTTGGATTCCGCAGCTGTGCCCCACTTACCTCTGAAACTATAGGTCTATTGCATTGTGATCTGCTGCTTGCAGGTAAAAGCAAACAATCCATGACTATTAGAACCATCTGAAGTTCTCCAGCCCACCAACTAGAAAGCACCTAATAAATTAGGCCTGGTTCACACTACGCGTTTTGTCACAGCTGAATAAGCGAGACAAAATGCTTAACAGAAAAATCCCATTCATTCTTATAGCCCCGTGCAGCAAAAAGTGTGCGTTTCTAAACGCTGTTGCCTAGGTGTGGCTCAGGCCTTAATGTTAAAAATAAATAATATGGCAATAAAAATACCCCCAAATTAACTCTCCAGGTTTCAATCATTAGTCGTTTTTATGATTTGCAACCCTGACAAAATGGGGTGGCAAGTCTTTTAGGTATTTTCACTCCAAGACGGGCCATTGCAGCATTGTGTTTTGTCAGCTCATTCATTTGAATAGGATGATAAGCACACCACAACAAACCTGAAATCACTCCTGCACGATAGTATATTACCATGCTGCAACAATGTAGGTGCATTGGAAAGTGCAATAAGTTGCTATTCACAAGTAATGGCTCTACAGCATACCAACATACGTAATGTGCATTACTGCGGCACAGTGGTGTAAAAGAGCCATCAGACTAGGGCAGTGCATTTAATGTACTCACATTAACATACGTTAAGGCATGCATGCAGTCTATTTATTTAAATGGGTTTTCTAATGCACCACAATGGGCCACAAATTGATCCTGCATGTGGTAGTGCATTACCACACATTAAGGTGCAGTACAAAGCAGGTGACCATGGTTGCCATGCAGAATAAATGGCACCACAGTACACCAATGTGCATAATGTGCGTTAGGACAGTACAGTGGTGTGAATGGGCCCTGATTCAATCTTATCTTGATACTAAACTAAAAATTTACAGAAAGATTTTCACAAACTTTCTCAACAGATTTAGCAATGAGCTTGCATGCTTTGTGGCTATCATCCATCCTACCTTCATATACACATGTTCCAAGTCAGTGACTTAAAGTGCAACTTTATCTAGTGGATGTGAATGTTTACCCTGAGGTCTGCTCTAGCTATATCTGTATTCATTTGAAAATTAAAATAAGACCTTATTTTGGCATGTAAAAAAGTTAAATGAAGCATTTTAGAAAGGGGGCCACACTGAATAAGTGGACCTTGTCATTTAGGTGCAGGATTCTCTTGAAGTCATATGACGTTGCTCTGGAGCCATGTATTTAATAAATGTGGTTTGATGTTGCTGAAATGTACCTTGTGTTTATTAACATGACAGGTGAGTTTTAAGGATAAGGCTGGGCACACACCTTACAACCTAAAACTGTTTTGTAAGGAATGGGGTGTGTCATTTGTATAGGTCACATGACAATTTGTCTTTTGTAAAAATTCTATACATTTTTCAGTTGCACTAAAGAATAATCATAAATATCCAATCAATATGTCCTATATACAGCTATATTTATTTTCTAATTAATTGGCAATAATGATGAGCTAAAGAAACATTGGGTGCTGCAGTGTAATTAGAGCTGTAGGAAAGTATGGTTGCTACAATTTAGTTCAGTTTGTATATGGTGTGAACTATAATAAAACTGTATCATCTGCTATAATAGTTCCCATCACACTATGTTTGTTGCTGTTAATAAGTTATCAGGGTCATCTGTGTTGCAATAAAAATAAAAACTGTTTAGAAATCCTGTATGTTGAAGCAGTAATAAGATTGTTAGACTCTGGTGCAGACTTATAGAATACTGTATGTTTTGTGAAAGTTGCATGTTGGACCCTTTTCTGCTTATATGTAAAGTGGTGATTACTAAACCTATCAAATAGAAAACAGCATTGTGGTTTCCTTGTTTTCTGCCAGTCTTTAGCTTCACAAACTTTTAATCTAGGACCCCATCAAAGTTGGTTTAAACACAGGAAGTCTACGTTTGAATAATTGCTCAATCTATAACACAGCTGGATTAATATCCTACATTTTGCATATGTTTCTCAGACCTTTTTTTTTGTTCTTCCCCGAACAGATGATTCAGCGTGAAGCTGATGTGAAAAGTAAGGTCGCCGCTGTAGCTCTGACAGACTCTGTTCACAATGTGTGGCATCAGGAAGCCAATAAAACGATCCGAGAATGGATGAGAGAGGTAATAAGTGTTTGTTGCCGTGTATAACAAGAGTATAGAAAATAAAAGAAAATGTTGTATCACAAAAAGCTGTATGTTAAAAAAGATGTTTGAATTGTAAAAAAAAAAAAAAATGCCACAACATTTTACATTAATATCCATTTGCTGATTGGCTCTTATTGCAATGATTTGAATGGCCCCACCTACTAAACCACTTCTATTTTGGATTTGTCATGGAAGTAAGAACAGGTAGATGCCCTATTTACAAATAAGATAGAATTAGCAGTATTCTAGAGGGGGACTCTCCATCATGACCTGACTGGTTATCCTGTATCATTATATTATAATAAATGCTATTGTGTTTATACTTTGCCTTGATGATTACAAGCAAGCCTGAAACGGCCATATTAAAGCTAGAACACATGCCTCTTTTAACTCAAATCAGGGAGCCTGGGATGATTACTATGTCACAGACAGACAGCCTCACAGGTACTTTTTCCCCTACTGCAAAAGTCTTGGTAACCACCTGTTCTCCCAACTCCAGAGTTCTATAAATGTTCCTGCTCATGTTGCACCAATGTATAGGCACCCGGGCTGTTCGAAAGTAAGAGTGCAGAGAGCCAGCCAGTCCATGACACTAAAAGTGGACCCTGCAGCTCACAGCAGGTACCAGCAATTCGATCAGAGACCTTTCCAGGCTTTGATGGTACAGTGATAAGGAACAACACTTGCTATGAGGGTAAGATGCCCTTTTATCCCAGAACTTCAGCCAGCAGAGGATACTGCTGAGTAACACTTTCAATTTTAATAGGGAGAGTTTTGATGTGTGACTAAATTCCAGCCAGTCTTTTTGAAGCCACATTCAGGACAAATGCATAGATGTAGACCATGGGCCTGTAATTTTAGGCTGTTTTTACTGTGCTATGTACATCAAAGTTTGTGTGTAATCCTTTAAATGCAGTAGACCCTCAGAATTCTATGTCTAGTTTGTGCCACTGTGTGTTAACACGGTATTATGTGATGTGTTTATGTGCATTGCATTAAGGCAATGATTTCTACTTGCAGGTTGCCAGTATGTGTCACCCCATCTCAACATATCTATACTATAGAGGGGAACCCCAAGTGTCTCCATGTTATGTTTTATTGGGTCTGGCAATAGTTAGCTGCATTGTCGAAGTTAAGGGAAATTGTGCTTGAGTACCCATAACCAGAAGTTTTAAGATGTAAAGCCACTGCATTTTGGAGGCTAGCAGGCACTGTGAAGGTAGTATGTGGCACACCAGATGCCTGGTTTACAGCATCAACGTTACTTCACTTTGTCAACATTAAAGGTTTACTTTAACAACTTGGGTCCCCTTGTCTTGGTCGACATTATATCTTTTAGGTTTTTAAGTATACGTATTTTACATATATTTTGGGAACCAATAGGGCTTTAATTTGGTATAAAATCTGAATACATATTTTTTTCCCCTTCGTTTTTATTGGGAATAAATGGGAAAAACTTAGAAAACAAAATCAATTTTCTTATAAATGTTTCTAACGCAACGTTTTATGTAATTTGCACACCCTCATATTTGAATCCCAAAATATAATCATCAAAGTCCGCTTACTAAAATTGTATCACATTTGTGTGACGTTTATGTAATGTAGTGAAATGGTAGAGTTAAAAGTGATCATATGCGTTTTACTTTAGGAGAGCTTTATTCCCCTTTCAATGTTACATTACAACGTACACAGGGATGGTTTGCATAAATTGTTAGCATAAAATTCAGATAAGTACAAGTCGGGTTGACGAGAGCACAAATTAGCATGATAGTGACTTTTTCAAAGATTTGCGATTGCTAAAAATTCGAATGACAATACGTTCAGTTTGGGGAGCATTTGATGTTTGCCTATTGAGCGCACATGTCTTCTGGTCATCTGACATAATTGTTGGGACCTGGGGATTAATCTGGAAAGAGAATATTTCTATTGATATTTTGGATATACGTATAGATATATAAATGAATATACTGTATATTTTTCAATTTTTTTGGTACACTATTTTTTTATTTTACAATACTTTTTACACTTTTTTTTTTTCATGGGGTGCCTAGATCTGGACAGTGAACACAGTTTTCTGTTAAATCTTAAATAATGTTGGAAAAATTCTGATTTTATTTTTGTGCAGTTGCTGGATTTTTTTCAACACCTGATCAAAGCACCCCAAAGGCACATATAAAGCAATTGTGAGAAAATGCAGACATTCCGCACCTCCCCTCATGTCAGCGCTGGTCACCACACTGCAGCTGAGCTCTGGTGAATACAGATGACTAAAATGTCACTTTGATATTTCAATAAAATTTTAAAAAGTAAATAGTGCCTTTCAATGTATATAATACAAGACCCGGCTCCCCACCATCAGCACACATCGCACATTATCCCATACACTAAACCAAGTTATTTAATGTGCAGGTTGGTGTGAAACAGCACTTACTCATAATGTACTGTGACCTGTTCACACCACAGCGCGTCCTTGAGGTAGGTTCTGTTGTGGGGAAAAATGCAGACGTGGCATTTTTCCACACCTCACCTCATGTCAGAACCGGTCACCATACTGCATGTATGTAGAATGCTTTCATGTATGTTTACTGTGCATTTGAGAAGATTTTGGGACACATATCATATTCAGTTTATACTAAATCTAAAGCATAAAACTATTGAGTTAATAAATAAGAAATATTTGAAAATTTTAAATTGTCTTCCTTTGAAAAGTGGGGAAAACCAGCCAAGATCGATGCAGGAGAATAGTTTGGTAGTCTGGGTCACAGGCCGGGGTCATTGCAGGAGAAGAGTTTCGTAGTCAGGTCACAACTCAGTCGAGTAGTAGTAAATGCGGTAGCACCAGGCAGCACACAGAAAACAGGGTGGAGTTTAAATAGAAGGCCAGGTACTTTGAATGGCCACAAGATCAGGAGCAGGTGAGAAGCTCAGTATGCAGGACTAAACCAGATTCAAGTACAGAAACAAAATCCAAGGTGGCAAACCTGATAAGTCATGGTCCAGTGTGTGGGAGACCCAGGTTCAAAGCCAGGCAGCATCAGTTCCTGACAGGTGGATTGTTAATGGCACCTGGATGCATTTTACAGTAGCGGTTAGTGCACCCACAATGCAGCACATTCTGTACATTGTGGCAGGCTGAACTAAGGAAAAAAGTAATTTGTATTTTGTGATGCATTGGGAGCCCGTGGGCTGCCTTAACCGCTGTTTTAAAATGACGCAGGGGCAGCGATGCCCAGACTCGCGGCTACCCCCAGAACTAGCGTGTGAACTGCCAGCTGTCAGTGACGTTCAGGTCCCAGCTGATACAATCAGCTCCTCCTGGCTTCCAATGTTCCTGCAGATTGCTTCATAGGAGCACACAGTGCTTTTGCATTGTGTTTACATTGGGAGTGTAGTGACATCACGGCACTTGCTGTCAGTACGGAGGCTCTTGCAGAGATGTTGGCGATGTCCAGCCTCTCACTGCAGCAGTAAATCACTGCTATATTGATTGCTGGCTGATCATAGCTGCATAGGGGCGTTAAAATAAAAAATGTTCCCAACCAAAATTAATTCTCAGGCCGCAACAATGATATCGGATGATCTGATTGACATTTGTGTTTACTGTGCAATCATTAAATGTTCATTTAAGTGATCTCAATGTCAATTGAATTTTTAGTGATCACACATGTGAAAAAGGTGCCATGATATTAATTTGTGTCCTCAACCTGCCTTAATCTTTATGTTAGGCTAACAATTTGCGCAAATTGGTTATTTTCCCCTGTGCGCATCACAATGTAGTCTCGAAAGGGAAATAAAGTTCTCCTAAAGTAAAGCGCTTACATTCGCCTTGAGCTGTATCATTCTCCTACGTCACACTAATGTAATGTATTTCTTATCAGCAGGCTTTGTTGATTATGTATTGCAGTAAATATGTGGGGGTGCACTATTTATGTGAACATTGTTTTGGGAAAAATTACAGAAAAAAATGCTTTTTGAAAAAATATATATATATTTTTTTTACTGTTGATGCCTTGTCAGCCTCTGATCACAGCTATTCATGAATTGCGGAGTCTCGGGGACCACTCTCCTATATGTTCAAGGGAATACAGCCACCTTTAAGCCTGTGACACACTGCAGGTAAAGCCGTGCAGAGCGAAGCAAACCTGTCCGGCACGGAGCTTTGTGTGCAGTGTGTGAGCTGAGTACAGTCAGATGATTGACTGCACCTTCAGCCAATCAGCTTATGCGTAACAACCAGCCAGCCACCGCATGCTGAAGCGCGGGTTTATACGCGTGAGCCGATTGGCTGAAGATGACATTTTTCATCTCAGCTACGCGAGCTCTCGCAAGCTGACGTGCAGTGTGTCACAGCCTTAAGGGCTATTGATTGAGCCTACTGCAAGCAGTTCTGCTCCACTGTAACTTTTATGGTGGCGGCAATAAAAGGTTTAAGTATGCAGCTTACAATACATTAATATGATCAGTAGATATAATAATAATAGTATTCATTTATAATAATAGTAATACTAATAAATTAGGACTGTGGTATACTTAGTGTATTTGATTCCAAGAGTGGTGCCGTTTTTTTTTGTTTTGTTTTTTTAACACTCCCCTGCTCTATTTGATAAATAAATATTATTAATGGCCAGAAAATAAATGTATTCAGTTTGTACTGTCTGTTTACATTGATGATCAGTGCAGTAATACCTGCTTTCTTTGGTAGTCAGTGTTGCGCCCCCTCACTTTAGAGGTCAGTAGTGGTTAGTGGTTTGCACCCTTGCATTGGTTGTCTGAGGAGAAGTGCATCCTTTTATTGGTGGTTAATGGCAGAGGTGCCCTCTTTAGATTGGTGGTCAGTGAAAGAAGGGCCCTCTTACATTGCTCAGTAGGAGAAGGCCCCCCTTAACATTGGTGGTCACTGGGAAGAATGCATTGGTATTTACTATAATGCCCCATTACATGAGGGGGGGGGGGGGGGCGGGGGAAAAAGAAAGACA